TCTCCTTCTCCTCTCCGGCAGTCCCTGGAACTGCTGCACCAGCGCAGATCTGGGAGGACTGGCGTCAAGGGATGTCAAGGAAACAATTAGCACAGTGGCACTGCAGCGGCCACTCGTGATGCTGACCCGGCCAGGACAAGACTCCGCCAAGCACTGGCAGGAGTTTGCCAGAGCCGCGAAAACAGAAGTCTAGGCATCAAGAAACGTCGGGTCATATGCAGTGGGCTAGGCCGGCTACCTCGCCCGTGCAGAGTAGCCCACCGACTCCCACTGACACACAGGCCAATCCCTGGGTTCCGTGGATGGGAGTAAAACTGCAGTATCTTTGGTAATTTCCTTGAGCCCAAATACGTGATATTTTGTTCTTTGGAAGAGGGAGGGAGCCCCCTCAAGCTGGATGTGATCAAGCTTTGACAAGACAGTGATAGAGCACGCTGAATCTATGTTCGAAGCTGGGTCAGTATTCCCTTTGCGACCCGTAGAAATTTCGGAGAGTTCATGGATGAGTCACCCCATTTTCAGGTCTTTTGCTAAACACGCTCAGGAAGTGCTTCTTTGAGATTCATTGGGTCTTACCCAGTGGCATGTGACTGCAGACCATGAAGCCGAAGACTGCAAACTAAACAAGCAAGTTTGCACAGAATGCTGTATTGGTTGATCTTTCACCATGGAGTCGGTCCGCCATGCTTCAGTGCAAGATGAAGTTGGCTGCATCATCCAGATGTCATATTCGTAATGTCAAGAAGAACTCATGCAATGGCCATGACTTGTTTGCGCGCCAAATCGTTTCAGAGACCTCATGGAGATAATTTGTGAGAAGCACCATCAAAGGCTTGCCGTTCCAGATGAGACTCAAGAGACTTGGGGCTTTGTGCAAACTTTGAGCGGCCACCATCGCGGGTCTACCAGGTCTACCAGCCCGATGCACGGTGTGGGGCTGCAAAATTGGGCTTTGAAGCAACTGAAAGTACGTGGGCCAGTGTCGACTCCCTTCTTGCCACCCTAGACATGGTGGGCTCAGCCTTCAACAGCTCCTTCTGCATCAAGCTGTTTGCGTACATTAAGCACTTCAAATTACACAGCTTCTGTGTGTGTGTGTTGAACGAAGCTGTTGTGATGAGGTCTCAAGGTGACACATTTATGGCTCCCACACCTCGCTTCAATCGGCATTTCTTGACTGGTTCTGATCAAGACAGATGGGAATCGCTGTGTGCAGCCCTCTATCCCTGCTCTATAGAATATGAGTGTGCCTTGCAGCCGATTCGGAGATATAAGGCTACTGGTGTTTCCAGTCGCTTGCACCATGAAAGGCAAGAGTTGAAACTGCCGCGGGCCCCGTCCGCGAGGCCTCATGGTCACGGAGCGTTGTCAGCAGTTCGATTGCCAGTGGGGAGCGCAGGAGGTCCAAAGCGGTGGTGCTGAGGAGATCTCTGCGGAA